AGAGAGAGAGAGAGAGAGAGAGAAAGACAAGAGTACTGGTGTGGCCTTATGGGTTTAAGCTCACCAGCTGCTCCTCAGAAACCCTATACAGGTCACTATGGGTCAGAATCGACTCAACAGCACTTAACAACAATAATATATATATATATACCTCTGGTAGCGTACTGGTTACAAGATGGGCTGCTCACCTCAAGGTCAGCAATTTGAAACTACCAGCCATTCTGTGGGAGAAAGATGAGGCTTCTTGCTCCCGTAAAGATTTATAGCCTTGGAAACGCTATTTGGGGTCACTAGGAGTTGGAACCGACTCCATGGAACATAACCAAGCAAATATATGTGTATGTGTTTTTTTTTTTGGTGTGTGTGTGTGAGAGAGAGAGAAAGAGAGAGAGAGAGAGAGAGACTGCAGAATAATGCACGGGACTTCAAGGTCAATTGGAATCTCATGGTCGTCAGTTCAAATCCACCAGCAGCTCCTTTGAAAGCCTATACACAGTCACTATGGGTCAGAACAAACTCGATTTATAGTATCAGATGTATGTGTGTGTGTGTGTGTGTATATATATATATATATGTATATTTAGAGAGAGAGAGAGAGAGCTGGTATCATAGTGGTTACGAGTCAAGCTACTAACCCCACGGTCAGCAGTTCAAAAGGTCAGCAGTTCGAAACTACCAGCTGTTCTGCGGAGAAAGATGAGGCTTACTGCTCCTGTAAAGATTTACAGGGTCACTATGAGTCAAAAGCACACCACCACCACCACTATATATATAATAATTTGTTGTTTTTAAGTGACATCAAGTCAGTTCTGACTCATATAGGGACCCCATATAGGGTTTCTGAAGAGTGGTTGGTGCTAGTGGGTTTGAACTTCAGACCTTCCAGTTAGCAGTACAGTGCTTTTTGTAGAGTGCCACACCAGGACTAGATAGATATAGATAGATAGATCTCTCTTTACATATCATCTGAGAGAGAAATAAAGTGTTAAGTAAATACTTACTCTATATTACAAAACTAATCTTGTTGTTGTTAAATACTGTGAAGTGGGTTTCAATTTAGCAACATTTTTCGGGTTTCCAAGGAGCAGCTGGTGAATTTGAAACATTAATCTTATGGTCAGCAGTCCAGTGCCTATCATATTGCGCCATACCAAGACTCCAACAATCTTGAAGATAACATTATTGTTTTATCAATAAAATAAAATTAAAATGCATTCTTACTCAAGGCAATATCATGTGGGTCAGAATTCAATTGTGCTCCAAGTGTTTTTAGCACCTGATTTTTTGGAGGTAGGTCACCAGGCCTTACTTTCAAGGTGCCTTTGAGTAGACATGAACTGCCAGCCAGCCTTTTTGTTAATGAGTTTATGTCACTTTCCAAAGGTTAACTACCACTGAAGCAAAACTCATATCATTGTCTAGTTGACTGAAAACAAACGCACCTTTTAAATCCTTCAGAATCTGAAGCTTTTGTGCAATTTTACTTACTATGTTGCTTTTGTTAATATTACTGTTAAATCATTTTCCTTCATATTTTCTTCATGCTTTCAGTATGAAACAAAAACTATTGAATATGCTAATTTACTCATTTAGCTCACTAATTTTGGCATATGGTGAGATATAAAACATTTTCTTTTAAAATGAAGCAGGAAGAACAGTAAGAAAATAAGCCTCCAATTAGTTACAAGGGTTGAGATGAAACAAAACTGAGAATACCAAGACTAGGTGAAGGTCAATGAAGCATTTCAGCAATTGGATAGAAGCCCTGTTCAATGAAAAATTGTATATTGTTTTTAGATTCCTTGGGCGTGATTAGCAGCCTTGTTCCTTACTTTCAAAATAAGCCTTATTTCTTATTTACAAAACATTGTCCTGCTTGGTCAAAGCAGATACACCAATGATCCACAGATGCCCCTACTTCAATCTCTATTAATTTTGCTCCTATTCTTATATCTAGTTTCCTTTCTACCACCAAGCAAATGTCCAACGTTTTTCAAAGAGATCTTAAAGATCTTATTTCCCATGAAATTTCTCTTGATGCTGATGCACATTTTTCTGAAAATTTATTTCCTCTCCTTAAAGGTACTCTGTAACTCTCTTACAGCCTAAGTCATAGATTTTTTATTTTAAACTCTGTTTGCATTATTGTGGTGTGCTAAAGAGCTCAGTCTTTGAAGTCAAATGAAACTAGGTTTATTTTCAGTCATGAAATGCCGTACCCTGCTTCTATCCATATTATCATCCAGATTTGAGAGGTGTTATGTAACCCTGAATATATTACTTCTCCTGTATAAACCCCATTTTTATCCATCAAACAGATAGAAATTCCTGTTTTATACAGATTTTCTTCTGGCTCGTTGATTTATTTACTGAACTGCTAACTATTGAGAATATAAAAAATTCAGAAGATACTATACTGAATGAACCAATTCCTGCTTTTGATATACCAACAAGCAAATACATATAAAATTGAAACTCAAAGAATGAGAAATACTACAAAGAAAGCCATGCAAGAACAAATTGATAATTAGGAAGGGTAGTTAATGGAAGAA